CCCAGTCCCAAGCGGCGCGCGCGCATCTGGCGACGCCTACACGCGCGGCGCCACTTCGCGTAAGAGTTCGCAGCTGGCGGACGCGAGTCAACACGGCCATCAGTAGCAGCACGCGGCATCTTCGGCGAGTTGGAGGAGCCAAGCAGTTAGACTTGTTTGCACGGAGCAGACAGACTCCTGTCGGGCGACATCCCTGAGAAGGCAGCCCAGATAGTTCGGCCAACAGATCGATGTCACGATGATCATTGAATACATCTTCGGGGCCACCAATTCCCTTCGCGACCAGGACCCCTCTCCCGAAGAAAGTTGCCGGAGACAAAAAACGCAGGACCCCTACCGCATGCGCCACGAGTTTGGTCACAAGCGCAGGAACCTCACGCGAAGCAGTGGACATCCGAGCGCGGAGTCCATTGGGGAACAGCCATCAAGGGCAACGCAGCCATTAGAGAAGCAGTTGCGCGTGCCATAGACGAGGAGCTAGCAGCAAGGCTCCGAGTGCACCATGGCAATGGACTGCTGAACATTGGCCATTTGTACGACACCATCGCGTGCATGTTGGTCGGTGAGACTGCCTTGCGGCTTGACTTCCCAGCCGAGGTGCTGGGGCTGGAGCGGATGCAGCGCATTGAGGCCAGGTGCCTGCGCCAGTCGGGTGAATATTCGGTGCCAGTCGCCCCTTCGCTCGGCGGTCCACGGCCTGAGAGGAGGCACTCGTTTCGCCAAGTGCGCCACGCACCACATCATGCATCGGCTGACGACGGCGCACGTGGGCGCGTCACAGCAGAAGGCGATCGACGACTTCAACCAGTCGGTCAAGAGCTCGAGGCATGCGGTGCGCAACAAGCCGGTTCGATGTTTGGTCGATATGCGTCAGTCAATGCAGCGCGCGGGCTTATCCATCTCGGCGAAGAGCGTTGTTGCGTGCACGAAGTTGGATGACGCCAAGACGCTTGTTCGACGTGTTCGCGCTCACGGATACCAAGTTCGCGCAGCCCCTCAAGCCCCGCATCTCGGAGGAGACCTGCGGGGGGCCCACGCCGCGCTCCAGCATGTCGTTCAGCTAGGCAGGCCAAGCACCAGATGCACAAGCGCGCGGTCATGCATGCCCGCGCCAGTCGACGCTACGGCCTCACATCGAGACTGGAGCAGCAGTGGGCACAAGCACCTGGTCCCTACGGGCACCAGCGCCATGGAGTTTTCGGAGATGCTATGACGCAGTGCTGGAGGAAGTTGGGCAATGCGCAGGGCCTCAACGTCTGGCCATTGTCTCGCAACCTCCATCGATTTGAAGGCCGCGGGCAGGGGCCCAGCGCGCAAGCTGCCACGAGAACGCACACGTCTCTGTCTGTCGCGCTGCGTGCGTCAGCCGAGCATCGGCGACGGCATCGCGCGCACTTACACGCACGCGCGAACTCGCTACCATGCGACTTCTCCAGGAGCTCGATGGGGGGGGCGGGGGGGCGAAGGATTGCTGACCCCCCCTCTTTGCCATCGCCACGGGCGCCACATGGCCAAGAATTCGGAGACAGGAGAGGGCCGAACAGAGGATGGCACTCACATGTCTTGAGCGCCGCCGTCATCCCAAGACCGCATGTCATCGAGCATGGGCTTGCGAGGGTCGATCCCACCATGACATCGATACCTTGACGAGCAAGTACAGCGGTGAAGCCTACACCCAGGGAGCAGCTGACGCCTGTTTCTGGACACGCGGACTCATGCCATCGGCTCGGCTGGAAGCGGCGCCCCTGCAGTCACGCGAAGCTTGGAGCACCGCGGGCGACGAGCACGCCGACAAGTGCTTTGGCGAGGGCACCCAGGAGCACCCGCTCTGCGTGTTCGGCGACGCCAGCGGAGGCCGCGAGAGCAGAGACCAGAGGCTTCGACGTGTGGGCCCAGGACTCGCCTGCTACAAGTACCTCAACGACGACACGGAGCTGCACCATTGGAGCGGGCTCCCAGGGATCCGTCAGACCGCTCGCCGTGGCGAGCTCATGCCTTTCCACCCCGCGCCGCGGAGCTTGCGCGGCCACCTCGTGCACACGACGGGCAACGGGAGTGTGATCATCGGATGGTACAATCCACGGCACACGAGGCCTGAAGGGCCAGACAGCGACATGTGGCTGAAGATCGGCTTTGGAATTCAACATTCCAGTTCTACCGTTTGGAACCCGACAAAGGAAAAACGTGTTTTACGGAATCCAAAACCAATGAAGGAAAAAAATGTGTTGTTCTTTGAATTCAAAAACCAGTTCTTTGAAGTTAAGAACCACTGTGTAATTCAAAAACCAATTTCAGAAATTAAAAAACCCAGACCAAACATAATTTTTAAACGAAAAATTGAAAATTCAATCACCAATTCTGTATTTGAATTCAAAAACCAAGCACCTGGAGGCGAACCCGGGACTGCACTGCACGGTCCTCCTCGTCCACTCGCTCTTGGGCGAGACGGAGGCGCAGCAGGGCCTCGCCCCCCACGTTGCTCGTCGCGGGCAGCGCGGAGGCCGGCGCCTTCGCACCGCGCGGGGCGGGCGAGGCCCGTTCGCCAGCGAGAAGGCGCACGCGAGTGAGAGCAGCTGAGCACGAAGCGTGTCTTCTCGGGGCGCGAGTTCTTCAGAGCACGGTTGAGACCCCAGCAGCTGAGCAGGAGCTCGAGAGAAGCCGCGGCAGGAAAGCAGCCCGTCGTGCCCAGCCGAGGCACCCAGCTCCCTCGGCGCGTGCGATGCCCGCATCTCGGCATGTTTTGGAAGAAGATAGCTGTCGCAGGTGCTCTCGGTGCAAGGGGGCATCAACACAAGCAATGCGCAAGAACTGGTAAGCCTCCTCCTGCTTTGATCTACTTATTGTGAATGGCACTTTGTTCGACCCCCCACCAGGGCGGGTACACATTGCAGTGGGTTTTCCCGGTCCGAGACGTCACGCGGGATTGGGAGTCTAGTTCTGTTATGTTCAGCTTGCGGGTTCACGTAGTTCAGCAGCTTCAAGAACCAGCGAAGCCGTGTGTCGACCGAATTGAGGGTAATCGGACGGAGTTCCTCGATCGGAGTTCTCGGGGAATGTGGCCGAAGGCTTACAGCAAAGCTGAGCTAGCCTAGAAGCAGAAATCCTGTGTTTAAGCCAGCGTTTCCCGACCTAGTCTTCATATCCAGAACTCCAGAAAACCTGTTCCTCCTCCTCCTCCTGCTTCTCCTCCTCCTCCTCATCCTCATCCTCCTCCTCCTCCTCCCTACTCCGTTCTCCATTGGGACAAGCGGCCGCCTGAGTGCATAAGAAGCAGCGTCCTGATGTTTGCGGCCCGTTCTAAGTGATGCCGGTTGGGGCGACTGAATTGACCGGCGTTGTTTCTTAACGTGTCTTTCCTACACCACCGTGCCGTGCGAAAGTTTCCAAGCTATTCGAAGTCGCAGATGATGACGACCACGGGGCGAGGGAGCAAATCGGGGCTGTGGCGGCCCCGTGATGGGGAGGAGCAGGGACGAATGAGAGTATGAGGGAGGAGGAGGAGGAGGAGGAGCACGGAGGGCGGATGACGGAGGAGGAGGTGGAGGAGTAGGAATGGGGCACGGCAAAGAGGATGTGGAGGGGCAGAGGAGAGGAAAAAGGCGGAGGAGAAAGACGAACGAGGTGGGGAAGGGGACGCACGCAGAGGAAGTGGGAGACAGAAGCGGAGGAGGAGGGGAGGGTGAGGAGGAGTTGGACCACGAGGAGGACAAGGCGGAGAATGTAGAGGAAGGGGGAGAAGGAGGAGGAGTAGGAGGAGGAGGAGGAGGTGGAGGAGGAGAAGGGGTAGAATCAGTTTGAATTCCCTACCTAGGCTCTGCCTAGAAGGGCTCTTACTTTCTTGGCTTAAAGGGGCCGGGCAGTGCAACCCGCCCTGGGCGGTTCCCCCAGTCCCCTGGGAGCCAAGCAAAAGCAACAGCAAAGGTAAAAGCAAACGCGCGGTTCCCCCAGTTGCGCTCCCTGGGTGCCAAGCAAAAGCAAAAGCAAAGGCAAAAGTGAAGGCAAAAGCGAAGGCAAAGCAAAAGCATAGCATAGCACAGCATAGCGCAGCATAGCATAGCGCAGCATAGCCTAGCCTAGCCTAGCCCAGCATAGCATTGCGCAGCATAGCATAGCAGAGCAGAGCAGAGCACAGCACAGCATAGCATAGCATAGCATAGCATAGCGCAGTACAGCATCCACTATTGCTGCTGCTATATACATATATATACATAGATTGTCCACGTGCTGCTGCTGCTGCTTCACTTACGGCGTGGCGTCGGCGGTTCTGGCGTTACTACTACTACTACTACTACTACTACTACTACTACTACTACTACTATTACTACTACTACTACTACTACTACTACTACTACTACTACTACTACTACTAGTACTATTACTACTACTACTACTACTACTACTACTACTACTACTACTACTACTACTACTACTACTACTACTACTACTACTACTACTACTACTACTACTACTACTACTACTACTACTACTACTACTACTACTACTACACTACTACTACTACTACTACTACTACTACTACTACTACTACTACTACTACTACTACTACTACTACTACTACTACTACTACTACTACTACCGCTACTACTACCGCTACTGCTACAACTACGACGATGAGGAGCAGGAGGAGGACGGCGTTTACCGCTCCTACTAATGTTGCTTTCCTAGAGGCTCCAACTCCTAGGTAGGGTCGCACTGGGATAATGAGGAGACCGAGGACGAGGCGGAGGAGGGGTAGGACGGAAGGACATGGAGGAGGACGCGGAGGAGGAGGAGAGAGAGGGATAGGAGCATATGGTGAAGGAGAAAAGGAGGAGGATGTTGAGGCACAGAGGAGGCAGGAGAGAGGGAAGCGGAGGAGGAGCTGGAAGAGTTGGATGAGGAAGTGGAGGAGGAGGCGCGGGACGGGGGGGGCAAGATAGAGAGGACTCGGGGCAGGACGATAAGTTGGACGCGGGGGAGGGACGACGAGGCGGATCGTGGAGGGAGAATGGTTATGTGCCCCACTGGAACTCCCCAACCGGTCGGGATCATCTACACGGTGCAGGACTCGCTCATCTACCATCCCCTCCAATACGAGGACGGCCCATTGAACGAGAAGGCCGCGGGAGAGGAGATGAGAAGACCGCAGTGCCACCCTTCAACCCCTCTTAGGAACGTCATGCGTGACGAGACGGGCGCAGTGTGAGCCCAGAAGGGACGACGAGGGAGGAATCCGCCGACCCTGCCGGCGTGTGTGAGGGAGAGTTCTGGATTTTGTCATCTTCGGATCACCTTTTGGGGTTCTTTTGGACGCGCCCAGCTCGTCACCCTCTTTTGCGCGCCAAGCTCGTAAACTCGAGGTGAATCGAGCCAGGTCGCAATCGAAGTCGTAATCGAGTCAATGAGGAGTCCCTTCCATTTGATCCTTTCCCCACCAGGGGGGGGGAAAGGCGGGAAGGGTGTCGACGGGGGTACTGCGGGGTGGTCCCGGGGGGTGTCACGGGGGGGGTACCGGGTCAGAATACGGTCCCCCCCCTTCCGTTTTCGGGCCGCCTTCGATCAAAGTTGGCCCTCCTTCGGCAGATCAGGTCCAAGATGCTCCAAGAGGGGCCCGAAGAGGGCCCAGAGTCGCCGAAAGATTGCTCCAGAACGCCGAAGATGACCTCCAAACGGCCGACGGCGCCTCCAAGACGTTCCAAGATTCCAAGAGGCCTCCAAGAAAGAGCACTCCCAAGAGGGCCGCAAGAGGCAAATGTATTGAATGTCCGTTAGAGTTTGGCAGATTTTAGCGTTTAAGCTTTTTCCGCTTCCCGACGCTCCAAGACGGCTCAAGAGGCCCCAAAGATCGCCCAAAGACGGCCTACGACGCCGTCAAGAGAGCGCCCAGACGGCCCAAAAGGCCCCCCACGACGGTCCAAGAGGCCTCCAAGACGGCCCAATGCGGCCCCAAGAACGCCCCAAGAGGGGCCCCAGAGGGCGAACAGGAACCGAAATATCAAGCTCACCGCCCCATGAGGCTCCCAAAAGGCCCCCAAGCCCCAAGAGGCCCGCAAGAGGCCCCCAGGAAGCCCCAAGACGTTTCCAAGAGGCTGCCATGAGGCTCCCATGAGGCTCCCAAGCGGCTTCCAAACTGCCTCCAGAGGCCCCTGACAGCTCCCCCAAAGAGATCCCAAGGAGCATCCATGAGGATTCTGACCCACTTCCCAGTCACGGTGGCGGGATGGGCCGCAGGCCACTCGATCCGCCGCTCCTTGTCGATTCATCGCAGGGGTGCTTGGCGTGCCGAATCCTATCGGTTTTGGTTTGGGCTTTTTTCCAAAAGAACTCCCCCTGGGGCTCCGGCCCGTCCCGCCGGGGTCGCGGAAAGATTGCCCAGAGGTGGTTGCCAAGGGTTTTTCGTTCCAGACGGCTCTAAGATGGCCTCCAAGACGCCTCCAAGACGGCCAAGATGGCCTCCAAGAGGGCTAAGATGGCCCCAAGATGGCTCCAAGACGGCCCAAGCTGCACCCAAGACGGGCCAAGATAGCTTCCAGGGCCCCAAGCTGGTTCAAAGAGGCCCCCAAGACTGCTCCCGACGGCGTCAGACGGGCCAGGAACGCCCTAAGACGATTAAAGAGGCCCCCGAAGAAGTCCCAAGAAGGCCCCAAGAGGCCCTCCAGAGGCTCCAAGAGAGCCCAAGATAGCACCAACATGGCCTCCAAGACGGTCCCAAGATGGCCCAATCGAGCCCAAGAGTACCTCGAGAGGCTCCGAAGAGGCGTCCTCTCCCTTCTCCTTTTTACCTAACAGCGAAGACTGATAGGTTTCTAGTGGTATAGAAAGAGAGCAGCACATTACTCCACAGGGGGGTCTGGGCAGCCGTTGGGGAGCCGTTGGGGGGCCGTTGGGGTTTGCCGGGGGGGATCGTTTTTCGCATACAGTCACACACTTCGTGCTCTTCGACCTCCCAGAACTCCATTCCCGGGCCACATTCTGAATGCCCGGAGCCAACTGTAGGCCACTTCGTGCTCTTCGAGTTCCCAGAACTCCATTCCCGGGCCACATTTTGAATGCCCGGAGCCAACTGTAGGCCACTTCGTGGTCTTCGAGTTCCCAGAACTCCATTCCTGGGCATGATTTTGAATGCCCGGAGCCAACTGTAGGCCACTTCGTGGTGTTCGAGTTCCCAGAACTCCATTCCTGGGCATGATTTTGAATGCCCGGAGCCAACTGTAGGCCATTTCGTGTTCTTCGAGTTCCCAGAACTCCATTCCCGGGCCACACTTTGAATGCTGAGGCAGGCTGATGCTGAGGCTGAGGCAGGCTGAGGCTGAAGGCAGACTGAAGCTGAGGACGAGGCTGAAGGCAGACTGAGGCTGAGGCTGAAGCAGGCTGAGGCTGAGGCTGAGGCAGGCTGAGGCTGAGGCAGGCTGAGGCTGAGGCAGGCTGAGGCTGCTGAGGCAGGCTGAGGCTGAGGCTGAGGCTGAGGCAGGCTGAGGCTGAGGCAGGCTGAGGCTGAGGCTGAGGCTGAAGGCAGACTGAGGCTGAGGCTGAAGCAGGCTGAGGCTGAGGCTGAGGCTGAGGCTGAGGCTGAGGCTGAGGCTGAGGCTGAGGCTGAGGCTGCTGAGGCTGAGGCTGCTGAGGCTGAGGCTGAGGCTGAGGCTGCAGGCTGAGGCTGAGGCAGGCTGAGGCTGAGGCCGAGGCTGAAGGCAGACTGAGGCTGAGGCTGAAGCAGGCTGAGGCTGAGGCTGAGGCAGGCTGAGGCTGAGGAGGCAGGCTGAGGCTGAGGCTGAGGCAGGCTGAGGCAGGCTGAGGCTGAGGCTGAGGCTGAGGCTGCAGGCTGAGGCAGAGGCAGGCTGAGGCTGAGGCCGAGGCTGAAGGCAGACTGAGGCTGAGGCTGAGGCAGGCTGAGGCTGAGGCTGAGGCAGGCTGATGCTGAGGCAGGCTGAGGCTGAGGCTGAGGCTGATGCAGGCTGAGGCTGAGGCTGAGGCCGAGGCTGAAGGCAGACTGAGGCTGAGGCTGAAGCAGGCTGAGGCTGAGGCTGAGGCAGGCTGAGGCTGAGGCTGAGGCAGGCTGATGCTGAGGCAGGCTGAGGCTGAGGCTGAGGCAGCAGGCTGAGGCTGAGGCAGGCTGAGGCTGAGGCCGAGGCTGCAGGCAACTGAGGCTGAGGCTGAAGCAGGCTGAGGCTGAGGCTGAGGCAGGCTGAGGCTGAGGCTGAGGCTGAGGCTGATGCTGAGGCAGGCTGTGGCTGAGAGGCTGAGCAGGCTGAGGGTGAGGCAGGCTGAGGCTGAGGCCGAGGCCGACGGCAGACTGAGGCTGAGGCTGAAGCAGGCTGAGGCTGAGGCTGAGGCAGAGCTGAGGCTGAGGCTGAGGCAGGCTGATGCTGAGGCTGAGGCTGAGGCTGAGGCTGATGCAGGGTGAGGCTGAGGCAGGCTGAGGCCGAGGCTGAAGGCAGACTGATGTTGAGGCTGAAGCAGGCTGAGGGCGAGGCTGAGGCAGGCTGAGGCTGATGCAGGCTGAGGGTGAGGCTGAGGCAGGCTGAGGCCGAGGCTGAAGGCAGACTGATGTTGAGGCTGAAGCAGGCTGAGGGCGAGGCTGAGGCAGGCTGAGGCTGAGGCAGGCTGAGGCTGAGGCTGAGGCAGGCTGAGGCTGAGGCTGTGACTGCGACTGCTGTTGCAACTGCGACTGCCATCGCGAATGCGACCACGACTGCGAGAACAGCAGAATTCTACAACAGGATTCTTATCTGAATCTTAAGGGGAATGCTTCCAGATATGCTCCTACACATCGCTGTTAGGTTGCTTTGCCGGGATAATTCCTCCTTCTCCCGCTCTTCCTCTTTCTCCCCCACGTGTTCCCCGAAGGCTATCCAAACCGTCTCGGGGAACACATGGTCCGATAGCTTCGCCCCCCAAGATGCCTCCAAGACGGCCCAAGATGCCTCCAAGACGGCCTAACATGGCGTCAATATTGCCCAAGACGGCCCAAGAGGCCCCCAAGAGGCCTCCAAGACGGCCCAAGAGGCCTCCAAGAGGACCTCCTCCAGGAAGGCACGAAGAGACCAAAATCATGCATGTTCCCCAAGTGTTTCAAGGATGTTGGCATTTGTTTCTTCTCGCCATTCCGACGGCTCAAGACGGCCCAAGAGGCTTATTCCTCTTCCTCATCATGTTAATTATTTACGCTTCGCGTATCCCCACCAGCCCATCTCACAGCAGCAACTCTTGCGAAGCATGCCGACAGTCGTATTTTTCAGGCGTGTGTCCGCTTGGCCCCGCATATCTCCCCTGTTCCTCCTTCCTCCGGCCTCCTTGTACATCCTCCTTGTGGGGGGAGCGGGGGAAGGACGAGAGAGAGGAGGAGGGAGAGAAAGCGCTCCTCGTGATTTGAGTCGTTTGGGGTTTCTCGTCCTGGTGTGAGTCGTTCGGGCCCTTCTTCCTGGTGTGAGTCGTTCGGGCTCTTCGTGGTGTGAGTCGTTCGGGCTCTTCGTCCTGGTGTGAGTCGTTCGGGCTTCTCGTGGTGTGAGTTGTTCGGGCCCCTCATCCTGGTGTGAGTCGTTCGGGCCCCTCCTCCTGGTGTGACTCGTTCGGGCTCCTCGTGGTGTGAGTCGTTCGGGGCCCGCGTCGTGGTGTGAGTCGTTCGGGCTCCTCGTGGTGTGAGTCGTTCGGGCGCCTCGTCCTGGTGTGAGTCGTTCGGGCCCCTCCTTGTGAGTCGTTCGGGCTCTCGTGGTGTGAGTCGTTCGGGCCCCTCGTCCTGGTGTGAGTCGTTCGGGCTCCTCGTGGGGCCTCTTGGGGGCCTCTTGGAGCCTCTTGGGGCCTCTTGGGGGCCTCTTGGAGGCCTCTTGGGGGCCTCTTGGGGGCCTCTTGGGGCCTCTTGGGGCCTCTTGGGGGCCTCGTGGGGGCCTCTTGGGGGCCTCTTGGGGCCTCTTGGGGGCCTCTGGGGGGCCTCTTGGAGGCCTCTTGGGAGCCTCCTGGGGGCCTCTTGGTGCCATCTTGGGGCCTCTTGCGACCTCCTCAGAAGGGCGAAGTAGAGCTGCCCCCTAAGAAGGACAACATGAGCCCAAAACCTTCGTAAAATCAATGATTTTGCTATGAAGGACGATGAGCGCGGCCCCCTCAGAAGTCCAAAATAGGGCCAAAATCCTAGTAAAATCAATGATTTATGCTTCGAAGAGGGGTAGAGGCGCCAAACTCCCCCCCCCCCCCCCTGGGGGCCAGAATCCTCGTGAGGGTCGTCGTTTTTTGGCCCTCCCAGGAGTCGAAAAAGACCCCCTTGATTACACTCGGGACGCCCTCTCCAGGTCCAGGGGAGAGGGTAGGGGGAGGGATAAACCCCTCCCCGAAGGGGAAGATTGGGGATTAGGGGGTTGAGAACAGAGAGAGCTCGCTAAACCACTCACGCCCAAAGGGCTGGTGGGATTCTCCCCCACGTGTTCCCCGAAAGCTTTCCAAACCGATTCGAGGAAAACATGGTCCGATAGCTTGGCAAGCCTCTGCCCACAACGTTCGGCCACACAGGCGCTTCCAAAGGGGCAGGGGGCGGCGGTGATTCGCCGCAAGCGTCTTCGATAATCCGAGAGGTGCCTGAAATCGCTCGAGCGCCCCAAGAGAGCCCCCAGAGGGCCCCCACAGAATCCCAAGCGAGCCCTCAAAAGTATCATACCAGGAACCTTCGGTATGACACTGTTGCGGGCTGTTTCGGGAGCCCTCCTTGGGCCCTCTCGTGCATTTTAGAACCTCTTGTGCCCTTTGGGGCCCCTCTTCAAGCGTTTTGGGATTCTCAGAGAGCCTGGAGAGAGCTCCAAAAAATTTCCAAGAGAGCCCACCGAGAGCTCCAACGGGGTTCCTAGAAGGTCCCCAGCAGCACCCTACCAAGACACAGTGGCGGGACGGGCCGTGGGCCACGTAATCCAAGAGGGACCTGAAATCGCCCGAACGCCCCGAGAGGGCCCCCAGATGGCTCAAACTGAAGTTCCCAAGAAACGACCAGGCTCCACTCCCAGATGTTCGGGGATGGCGCGGCATTGCCGCCAAGACGACCTAAGATGTCCTCAATGACGGCGAAGATGCCCCAGTCTGACGTTGGATGGCCCCACGATACCTCCTAGACGGTCCCCGGATGGCGGCACGAGGTCGAGGCCGCCATGAAGTTTGAGGAGGCTCCTGGAGCCCCGAAAAGGCTTCCAAGAGGTCTCCTCCTCCTCCTCCTCCACCTCCTCCTCCTCCGTTCCTTTTCCTTACAATAACTCCTCCCTGTCGCGCCCCGAGGCCAGTCGAAAGGGCGGGCCAGGAGTTTCGCGTGAGTCGTCCTCACCATTGATAACCCTGAAAGTAAAAAAATGGCAACAGCTTCACAGATGAAGGGCGGATGGTTTTCAAGATATGGCTCTCGCCTGAGCGCCGCGCACATTCGTCATTTTTACATGCAAAAACTTTACGGATTGAGGGCGGGTCGTTTTCAACATGTGGTTCTCGCCTTAGCGCCGCGCACATTCGTTTCAAAACGCTACAAGTGCTTCACGGATGGAGGGCGGATCGTTCTCAAAACGTGGTTCTCGCCTCAGCGCCGCGCACATTCGGTGCAAAAAGTTGCAAGAGTTTCACGGATGAAGGGCGGGCCGTTTTCAAAATGTGGTTCTCGCCTGAGCGCCGCGCACATTCGTTCTACAACGTTGCAAGAGCTTCACGGATGGAGGGCGGGTCGTTTTCAACATGCGCCTCTCGCCCGAACGCCGCCAACATTCGTTTGAAGATGTTGCAAGAGCTTCACGGATGGAGGGCGGGTCGTTTTCAAAGTTGGTTTTCGCCCCAACGTTGCGCGCACTCGTTTTCAAAAGGTGGTTCCTCGCCTAAGCGCCGCGCACCTTCGTTTTTGTTATTTGCAAGACTGTCACCAGAACTGGCATGTTGGAGCGATTCAGGACTGTCAGGGCGCAACAGTTTCGTTGATTCGCGACGTTGAAGTCCCAGGAATGGTGTTCTGGCACAACTGAGGAACGCCCAGACGCAACAGTTATTTTGATTCGTGGCGCTGGAGTCCCCAGAACGCCGTTTAGGCACGCTTCAGGGTCTTCAAACGGTTGTCTCCCAACGGGGCTCTTACCAAACCCTTGTAAGGGGCCTATGAAGAGGGAGCTTGGAGGGAGGGTTTATTCCAACATCGTTGATGAGTCTTGGATTTACACTGGTTGTCCTCCTTCCTCCTCCTCCTCCTCCTCCTCCTCCTCCTCCTCCTCCTCATCATCATCATCCTCATCCTCCTCCTCCTGCTCCTCGATCTCTTCCTGTACCTCCTCGTCCTTTTCCTCCTCCTCCTCGTCCTTCTCCTCCTCCTCCTCCTCTCCTCCACCTCCTCCTCGTTCTCCTCCTCCTCTTCCTCCTCCTCCTCCTCCTCCTCTGTTCCTCCTACTCCTCCTTCTCCTTCTCCTCCTCCCCCATCCTCCTCCTGCTCCTCCCACTCCTCTTCCTCTGATTCGAACGGTATACCTTCCTGCCCTTCCTGTCTAACACCATCCCTGCTCGCACCCCAGATGCCCCATCCGCAACCGCTCTGGTTCTTAGGTTGCAACCCCCGTGCCCGCCAGTAGTCTCGCTAATAGACGCGCAGTTCGTTCACCACACCACACTCCGTTCTTCAGAAAGACCCGATATGTCACAATCTTTCCTCATATCAATTTAACTTTTTGGTAGCGGATCACCACGCTCCATTGCCACGGCTTCTATCCTTCCGCGCTTCGACAGCAATGGCTCCAACCGTCCACCGTTGTTCACCCCGCTACGCATCCGCTCTCAGTCTCTCCTTCGTGCACAGATCCCCTTTCACGACGGCAGGAGACGTTACTCCAGGGCCCGCCGGGGCAGCAGCCTATTCTTCCGCGTGATGGATGGCCAGATCTGCCATGGCCACGACACGGTCCAGTTCAGCGAAGAGAAAAAAGAAAAGTAATAAGACAGCCGCCCTGAGCTTCAAGCACAGTTCTCTCACCCAGCAGCGAGCAGGCGAGTCGCGTGACTGTGTCACAAGGCCGACCACCGTACTTCCGGCGCTTGATCAGCTTAGCGCCGCTCACCTGGACACAGGTCGACCTACCCAGCAGCCACGAGATCGCCAGCTTCTGCGGACATTCACGGTCAAGAATGACGACGAAGTTGAGCACTCGACTTACTGTTGCTTCAGTTGACTGGGTCAACTGACGGTAGCAAGAATTTGCATGCGTTCCACCAGTAGTCTCTTGAGCGCGGTCAGCAGAGCGCTCACTGCAGGCATGTTTCACGAGCGCGGTCAGTATAGCACTCCAAGCAGCACTTTGCCACCAACGAAGTCATGGCAGATTTGTTCGAGCACCAGTCTCGAGCGGCATGCCTTGGCGCCCTGCCTGTCTCACCCCATGTCCACTTAAACCCCAGCTGCCCCATCCGCAACCGCTCTGGCTTTTAGGTTGCAACCTCCGCGCCCGCTATTGCACTCGATATTAGACCTGCATTCAGGTATTGCACCATACCACATTCCGCTCTTCAGAAAGACCCGAGATTTCAAAATCTCTCTTCACATATATTCCCCGAGTCTCTTCATCACCCTCATCCCTCACCTGATTCGCCGTTCTTCTGCGAAAGCACATTAGCTGATAGCTTGGCCAAGCTATGCTCCTTGTCGTACGCATCTTGGGAACTCCATGGGGCATCAGGGGAACTTTTCTGGGCGTATGGCCCCAACCTTCCCGAACAATTCCGGCTGTCACCGTCCTCGTGGGGGTATTATACTAGGGTCGGCGGCACCGGCCTTAAGGCCCTCACTACAGGAAGGGGGCAAATCCCAAGTGAGGTTTGATTGTTGGCTTGCATATCTGGGGATTTGGGGGCCCGTGGTTGTCTGCGGCTTTCGCTGCACCCATCGCTTGGATGCGCCGTTGCGAAAAAAACAGCTGACGCCACCCGATGGTGCCACCCCCCCTGCGCAGGCCCTGCTGCCGCAATTCGCCATGAAGCAGCTGCGCTTCCAGACCCGGGACGGCGCCCAGGCGGCCGTGTTGCTGCAGGCGCCTGGCGCCGCGCCGCGCCGCGTGTACGCCGTGTTCGGCGGGAACGCCATGGTCGCGAGGCGTCCGAGGGGAGGCGTCCTGCTCCCGCGCCCCCCCGCTCCTGAACCTTGACCCCGGGCAATTGAAAGTCCGAGGCGGCGGCCCGAGAGCTTTGCGCTTCCGAGCGCCGCCGGGTGATACGCGCAGTGTGGGGGCGGGGGTGGCGATGGATGTCGCGAGGGGGAAAAGGAGGCAGGAGGGAGCCCAATGAGCGGTAGAAGTTCAACTCCTTGGCAAGGACATCTTCGAAGACGCCTCGCGATCGCCCTCACGCCTCTCGTTTTGCTCACGTGGCGACCTGGGACGAGGGTCCAGAGCAGACGCAAGACGGCCAGAATGACTCCCAAACTGCCGAAGACGGCCGTCGCGGTCGAGAGGGCACCAGGAGGGGCCAAGCAGGGCACCAAGCAAACAGCGAGAGGAAGAGACCGCAGAAGGGCCCAAGAGATGCCTTAAAAAGGTCCCCCAGTCAAAGATCCAATCATCAACGTTCCAAGGGTCGTCCTTGACTTATTCCCTGACCTGCTTGTCTGATCCTAGACAATGTTTCCGGGAAGCCGAGTGCGGGGCAACCGTGATCTGGAATCGGTCGGGCGCAGATTGTCTCGTGGTGTCTTCCGTTGTCTCCTGCTGTCTGCCACTGTCTCTCGTGGTCTCCCGTGGTCTCCCGGCGTACTTCTGGGGGCCTCTGCCTTTGCCCCATGTTTCCGCCACGGTGCACAGCTGTCTACCGTCGGGACTTTGTGCTTAGCGTGTCGCTCCGCTGGTTCTGGCCCACCACGCCTTGGCGCGACACACTGACCACGCACCAGCCCTCAGTCGACTACACGTAAGAGTGACCCTTCGCCGGAGTGACCTTTGGTGCGGGCCCAGTGGGGTCCCCCGATCGCCGAGCGGGATGCGGTGGTAGCGTTTTGCGCGCCCATGTTTGGTCCCCCCGCTGCCCCCAGAAAAGCTGCGCACCAAAGCTCACTCTTACCCAGGGTCACTCCCCGCGTGCAGCCGAGTCAGGCATCAACGTCCCGAGCTGCTCCCAGATTCCCGCCCCGCGCAGCGGAGCGACACGCCGTCCGCGTGTAGGGCAAAGCATGTCGCCAGAGCCGCCGCCGCCGCGGCACGCCAAGCAGAAGCTCCCGGCCGTAGATTCCAGGCCCTCGCGGCACAGTGGGGGCCCGTGCCAGGAAACACCCTGCTTGCCTCCAGGGTGCCTTGGGTTTCTCGGGTTTCGATGGTCTTGCGGTGGAAGGCGCGACGCTCCAGCACCACAGGTCAATGGACGCCCTGGGGTCTCAGGGCTGGGTTTCTTGTGGAAGGTCTCTCGTGGACTGGCCTCCACTGTATATGTCTGGCCTCCGACGGCCTGGACGGAGGGCGCGTGCGCGCGCCAGCTAGCCCCATCTCGGCCACGGCCTGGGAAAAAACCCGGCGTGAGCCCTGCTGGCAGGAAGGCGGGCACGGGGAGCGAGGAAGACGAGTGGAGCGACGAGCTGGGCCAGAGGACCTCCTGCCCCGCCCCCGCTTCTGCACCTGCGAGTTCTCTCCCCCCCCTCGTGGAGGGGAGGGAGCGGGGAGCGAGGAAGAAAAATGCAGCGACGAGCTGGGCCAGAGGACCTCCTGCCCCGCCCCCGCTTCTGCACCTGCGAGTTCTCCCCCCCCCTCGCGGAGGGAGCGGGGAGCGAGGAAGAAGAATGCAGCGACGAGCTGGGCCGGAGGACCTCCTGCCCCGCCCCCGCTTCTGCACCTGCGAGTTCTCCCCCCCCCCCTCGCGGAGGGAGCGGGGAGGGAAAGTAGAGGGGAGCGACGAGCGAGGTTGGAAGGCCTGCCCACCGGCCCCTCCTCTGCACCTGCGAGTTTTCCCCCCCTCCCCCCTCGTCGAGGGAGCGGGGAGAGAAAGAAGAGGGGAGCGACGAGCGAGATTAGAGGGTCTGCCCACCGCCTCCCTTTCTGGGCCTGCGAGCTCGCCCCCCCCCAACCACCCCCTCGTCTCCACGACTGGGCGCGACTAGGAAAACAGCACGGTCCAGGAACCGCGTTTGAGAGGAGTCTTGCTTGGAAGCTTGGAAGAGGGGAGACGGGGATCGTGGTGCGGAGGGTGGAGGGCGGGGAGGAGGAAGGGAGTTGGGGGAGGGAGGAGAGAGGCAGGGATCCCTCCTGCGACGCCGCAGCGCCTCGCACCAGCCCGGCCGGGAGGGACTGGCTGCGCATCTTGACCCGCATGTCTTGGCAGCGGGACGTGGCCTTCCTGCTCGTCGACTACCCAGGGCAGGGAGGGGGGAGGGGGAGGGGGCAGGGAAGTGCAGGGAGGGAGTGCGGCAGGGAGGAGGAGGAGGAGGAGGAGGAGGAGGAGGAGGAGGAGGAGGAGGAGGAGGAGGAGGAGGAGGAGGAGGAGGGGGGAAGAGAAGGGGGAGAGCGCGCGACAGCTCGGACGGCCAGTCGTCCAGGCCTGGCGGGGCGTGGGGGCCCCAGGGGTCGTCTCTGTTCCTTTCTCCAGAGCCCATGGCGGCCGGGTTCCCCCGAGCGCCTGAGCCTGATCCGGACGCGGGAACGCGGTCGGGCCTCCCCGATCGCGGCATGTGCCCCGATGTGCAGCTCCACGTGGCTCCCGCACAGCATGCTGTAGTTGTTCGTCGGCGTCACAGTCGCTATCGGGTTCCGGTGCAGGTCGGGGCTTGAGAGTCGGATGCCATTCGGGTCCGTGTGGTCCAGGATTGTGGGTGGTGATTGTGGTCTGCCGCCCGGCTCGAATTTCTCTTTCAATTTTCCCACGCGGGTGTAAAGTCATTTCTTGCCGGTCTGTCGCGTGCTTGAATTGGGTCCTCTTCGGTTTGGGTTGAAGTCGTTTCTTGCCCTTCTCCATGAGGATCTATTGCGCCACTTTCTCAGGTACTTTCACGAAAATCACCTTGTGTCCGCCGCCCAGGCCTACCTCACAACGGAGGGAGGTGCCGCAAAACGGACAGGGGTGGGGCCCCCTGGCGCGCGGACTAAGAGGTCCCCGACTGAAAATACAAACGGGCCTGTGCTGATCAGGGCGTGACACGCCCCGTCTGCACACCCGGCGCGCTTCGGCCTGCGCGCATCGGCACCTCAGTGCACCGTGGCGCCACATTGGGGCATCCTCCGCAGCGGCCCAGTGCAAAGGCCGCAGAGCACTTGCCAGCTGTTCTCGCAGCGCACCCGAGAGAGGGGAGACTAGCACTGGCGTGCTAGCGGTGAGCTTCAAGGTGTGCCTGGAGGCTTCCCCAGAGAGTGACCCCGAGAGAAACTGTCGGACGGAAGGCCTGTGACAGGTCGCTCCAGGCGGATTGAGTTCTGTCGGAGTCTGTCCAGCTGAGGGCTAGGCGGTTCCTGGATGGAAAGACGGGCCTGCGCAAGGTTCGTGGCACGCTGTTGCAGCGCCGTGAAGCTACCGATGAGAACCGTTGCGCCCATGAGATGCTGCGTGAGGGCGCGCCTGCGATCCATTCGCTGCATTGGTGTTCCACTGGTGCCTACTCCCTCTTGGATGGTAGGGCTGTCGGCAGTCCCCGCACCCTGGTCGAGAGGGAAGCGAGCTGGTGGCTACGCGTGGTGCCCGCGGAGGCGAGGTCCTGGTGGACTTCCTTCCCTTCAGGCACCTTTTCCAGGTGCCTTTGCTGACTCCGTTCTGTGTATTCGTCGTCGGCGTCGTGACCATCGCTATCGTGACCTCCAGATGGAGTAGCAGTGGTTTCGTCATCGTTGTCCAAGGTCGCACATAACCCCAGTTAGTCCTAGTCTTACCCTTGGAAGTCGTCGGTTGGGCCTCCCCATGGGTCGTCGAGATCGTCGAAGAAGTCCGGCCCTGGTGGGCCTCGTGGTTGCGAGGGGTCGCCAGGTGAGTTTGGTGGTTCGTCACTTACTTGCCCTATGGTGAGCGGATTGGACTTTATCTTGCTGAGTTCAGTTGTAGAGTAACCCGCACGTCTGTCTGGCAAGGGCAACGCGTGGTGGCGACGGTCATAAATTGCGACGCCGGTGTTGTGGAGAACCGCCGCGAATGCGCGGGTCGCTATGTGGCTCCGTCGGTGCCATATTATTACAGGGTGTGTTGACGTGTTCGGGCAGTGGCGAGTTCATCTGCGTGGCGACTGAAAGTTTTTGCGATCGGCGCGATTGGACCTTCACGGTTTGGCTCGCACCGCAGGATGGGTCCATTGCCAGAGACTAACGTATCAGCCGTTGTAGCGCACGGCGGGACGCCAAGGTTCAAAACAGCAAGTTTGAGCCTTGAGACTCAGGCTTCACATTTGCTTCTCGAGTTTGAGCTTAGGATCCCCCGTGAGAGCCAAGCGTGGTTTGGGGCGGTTCAGGGAGGGTTGAATCGCACATGTCGGCGACGCCCACACGAAAACAGCTGGTCTTTGCATCGCAGTTTGTCTTTGCATTGCAGTTTGCGGTTGCTTTGCATATGTCCTTTGCGCTGTAGTGGCGCCGCTCGAGCTCGAGCATAGGATGCCGCGTGAGAGCAAAGCTTGGTTTGGGGAGGTTCAGGGGGGGCTGAAGCGCACAGATCGGCAAAGGCCACGCGAACACCGTTGGTCGTTGCATTGCAGTTGCAGTTGTGTTTGCTTTGTTTTTTTTACATTGCAGTTTTCTTCCGCCGCAGTTGCCCTGCTCGAGTTTGAGTTAAGGATTCCGCGTGGGAGCCACGCGTGGTTTGGGGAGGTGCATGGAGTAAGGAGGTTCATCGCCGTTGCGTTCTGTCTTACTCATTCATGGCCCCTCACGCCCCGTAGGGCCAGACGCGGCCTCCTCTTTTCCGATGGCGATGCATAGATCCGATGCTCTGGTTCCGATATTCCCGTTCTCGTTTTTTAACATGTACCTCTGGTTCCAGCGTCTCGTTTGCTATGATCAATCATTTTTTCGGAGCTACGCATCGTTTTCCATGCGTGGTTTCATTGATAACAACATGTTTTGTGAGCGCCCCATGGCTTCCTCTGCGCGTTTTCTCTTGCCTGACCTTTGTTTTTTTAGAGCGGCGAATTGGTTGCAGCGCTTAGCTCCCCGCAGGACGAAAAAAAAAAGGGAGGAAGATGATCATAAGCACGTGCCCAGTTGAACACGGATGTGCGCGGCGCCAAGGCGAGAGCCTCATTTTGTGTATCGTAACCGAACAATGTAGGCCTCTTGCGTTCTGGATTGGTCGGCGCACATCGCTCGGATGGGTTGACTCAGGGCCTTCGGAGCTCGGTCGTGGCTCTCTTTCTGGGGGATGGGCAGGGACGTCGTCGTCACCGTCTCCCGTCTCCGCCCCGCGGCTGAGCGTGGCCCGAGTTGCCCGCTTCAGGGTTGGCGTCTCGCCGTCTCGACCATGGGCCGCGGCGATGCTTGGCAGACTTCAGGCCGCTCTGCCATCTCGCTGCACTGCCCCGGGCGATGTTCCATTGATCATGGAGCACGGCTTGGTCGAGGTGCTGAATTCAGTTGCAAATACAGGACTTGCATACGTTCAAATTTTCTGTTGTGGTTCATCAGGTTTCCTGGGCTATTCGGTTCTTCTGGGACTCGGGGCTCCTGGGCTCCTCTTCGGGATCTCCTCGGGATTCGGGACTCCTGGACTCGGAACTTCTAAGCACATCCCCCTAACTTTCCTGCGTCGATCTCGCGGTTCTCCTGCCGCTGCTGTTGCTTATCCCTTGCATATGTATTTATTGCTCCTGCGTTCTAGTCGCCCTCCCCCTCATCATTCCTCATTTGTTTCGTTTGGGATCCTTGAGGACTCAGGGGCGTACCTCGAGCATGTGAGAGCTTCAAAGTTTCAGAGACACATTATCGATTGGATGTGGTTCCCTTTATACTATTGAGATGCGGCAGGATGGTTGATGTCAGTCAGTGGCGCACTGTTCAATCTAACATACTGAGAATTCTTCGGGAGAACGTTGGCAGTGAGATTCGATGGGGGACCTCGGCACCACCGGCGGCTACAAGCGCTCCAGACCCAGCCCCAGCCGTCCCCAGAGCCAGAGCCAAAGCAATGCGAAGGCCACCACCATTTCTCAAAAGACGACGTTTCAAGGTGCTCAATCGAACTCATCGAACTCCCCAAGATCCTGTGAGCAAGTGGAAATCTAAGGCATCATACTGGAAGCGCAAGTGTATGGAAGCCAGGGAAGAAAACAAACATGCTCGAGCAAGGCTGGACGAGATGCTAGCAAATGGGAAGCGCGGCAAGAGACAGAGATACTTTTCAGTCAAGGGTGGGCTCACCCACGCCCTCCGGAGATGCAACAGCCGCACTGCGGCCATTGCCTATGGCCTCTCAGTCCGCAGCGACATCTCTCATGCCACCTTGGGGCGGTGGGAGCGCACCGCGCACGCTGCACTTGTATCGGCATTTTCAGCTTCGCAGAAACTTGCACGTTCGCAGATCTACCATGACAATCAAGATTCGTCGTGGTCCCCAGGTCTTAGGGTTGTCGTCCACCGGCTACGAGCAGACGCAACTAATGCCAGCGTATGGCAGCGTCAAAAATTACACGTCCTGGAGGTCTCGAGCGCCTGGGGTTTCTCTCCATCATCACCTTTTCCAGACGGATGGGATGGTCATGAAGCGGATGTCGAGGAGAATGCTTTATTCGCTGATATTTTGGCCGTTGAGGGGAGCAAAGGTTTGGACGCGCTGGCCCTGTGGAAAAAACAGATTGCGGGGCTAGGTGTGGTTGATTGGGAGGCTGCAACTTTGACATCTAGATCTTGCTTAGAGGGGTGCCTCGAGACAGATCTCCAGGAACCGACTTCTGGCTCAGCTTTGGTCGAATTGTTTCAGGCTCAGCTTGCTAAGCTTAAATCAGATGGGGCGCTCGATATGACAGCTGGGAAGTTGCCTCCAATCGAAGCTTGGGCAGTTTGCACCGATGCTGGTTCCGATCAGGTCTTCGCAGCCAAGTCCGCTGGGGCCCAATGCGTGGCATCCATTCTGATCTTCTTTGGATGGGTACCATGCCTGATGCACCAGAGCCACTTGTCTGTGAAATACCATCTCAAATTCGGCGATACGTTTATCAAAGGCGTCACTGATGGGTCTATCAAAACGTACTTCAGTACTTTGGCGGTGATTATGAATTGCTGGCGGAATGCAGGCAAGGATATTTACAGAGAAATGTTTGATGTTCACCAACCTAGCCAAAAACTTGTCAAGAACGTTCCGCCCAAGTGTATTGGTGGCCGATGGGGGGCCGTGACAGAATGCGAGAAGAGGTTACTAGCCGTCGACCGCGATGTCTTCAGAGAGGCGTGGAA